GAAGTGCACACGCGCGCGTCGTCGCGCGCGCATGCCGAAATCCTTCAAAAACCTTCGGTTTCGGGAGGATTCCAAAATCGTGCCCAAAAACCTACAAACGCACAAGGTTTCGCAACACGGGTTTTCAACAAAAGCGTGCGCGCGCGCTTTTGCGTCGTCGTCGTCGTCGTCGTCGTCGTCGTCGTCCTCTCTCCTCCCTCGTCTTCGTCGTCGTCGTCGTCGTCGCCGTCGTCGTCTTCTGTCTTTCCTCGTCGTCGTCGTCGTCGTCGTCTTGGCGTCGTCGTCGCTTCCGTCGTCGTTGTCGCCGTGGTCGTCCTTCCTCCCGCGTCGTCTTCGTCGGCGTCTCGTCGTTGTCCCTCCTATGTCGTCGCCGTCGTCGTCGTCGTCGTGGTCTTCACTCCTCCCTCTTCGTTATCTTCCTCCCTCGTCGTCGTCGTCGTCCGTCGTCGGCGTCTCGTCGTCGTCCCTCCTATTTCGTCGCCGTCGTCGTCGTCTTCGTCGTCTTTTTCTTCCCTCCTCCCTCGTCGTTGTCGTCGTCGGCGTCGCCGTCCTTCCTTCTTCTTCTTCGTCGTTCGCGTCGTCGCCGTCGTCCCTCCTCCATCGTCGTTGTCGTCGTTGTCGCCGTCGTCGTTTTTTCTCCTCCCTCGTCGTCGTCTCCGTTGGCGTCGTCGTCGGCTTCGTCGTTGTCGTCGTCGGCGTCGGCGTCGTCGTTGTCGTCGACGTCGACGTCGGCGGTGTCGTCGTAGTCGGTATCTGCGGCGCCGTCGTCGTCGTCGTCGTCGGTGTCGTCGTCGGCGTCGGTGTCGTGGCCAAGTGCCATGTGGTACCTACCGTCACGGTCTTGTCTTAAGAAGTCTTGCGACCAAGTTGCGGGTGGGAGGGTGGGATGTTCGCACGAGCAGTAGAGAGGACAGCTTCAAGACGGTCAAAGTGAATTGCAACGCACAGAGTGCTCCGCGCAGCTTGCACACCATCTGTCGAACCGCAAACAGTGCACCACTTAGACGGTGCAACTTTGTAGTACCACAGAGATCGCACTTCATATGTGTATATATTGTACAGATGCGTATCTACTAATATTGCACCACATGGACTGCGCCACGCATATTTCACCACTTCCATTGCGCCCCCGCCATAAATTGCGCAGGATGGATGGCGCAACATATGTTCTCCTTTCTAAAAGATTAATAGAGTCTACCCCCCTCTCCCCCCTGGACTGATCGGTTCCCCCTGGGATAGTATGATTTCACATATACATATATATACATTCTGCACTCTCGTCCACCCTAAATATGAAATCACATCATCCCAGCCAAACCGGGTCCCCCCTTGAGGTTCCTCTGTAACAAAAAAATTATGCGGTGACATCTGTTGTTCTAACATGGCACTTTTTCACGAATCCCTTGCAAACCAAACGAGACGAAGTGCACACGCGCGCGTCGTCGCGCGCGCATGCAGAAATCCTTCAAAAACCTTCTGTGCGGGAATGATTTCGCAATTGAATTTCCAAAACACATACAAAACCACAGGGTTTCGCAACACAGAGTTGCCAAAAAAGCTTCCGCGAAAGCTCTTGCGACATTTTAAGAAAACCGTAGGTGTTTCAAGATTTTCACAAAACGCTACCAAACGGGCTTCGCGCGCGCTCATGTCGAAATCTGTCGAACGCCGTTGCGAGTGTGCCGTCGCGAGAATCCCCTGCAAAAGAATGGAACGAAGTGCACACGCGCGCGTCGTCGCGCGCGTATGCCGAAAACCTTCAAAACCCATCGGTTTCGGAAGGATTTCAAAATCGTGTGTCCAAAAAACCTACAAAAGCACAAGGTCTCGCAACACGGATTTTCAACAAAAGCGTGCGCGCGCACTCTTGCGTCGTCGTCGTCGTCGTCGCCGTCCTCCCTCCTCCCGCGTCGTTGTCGTCGTCGTCGCCTACGTCGTCCTCTGTCTTTCCTCGTGTTCGTCGTCGTCGTCCTCTTTGGCGTCGTGATCGTTTCCGTCGTCGTTGTCGCCGTGGTCGTCCTTCCTCGTCGTCGTCGTCGTCCGTCCTCTCGTCGTCGTCGTCGCCGTCGTCGTCGTCGTCGTCGTCGTCGTCGTCGTCGTCGTCGTCCTCCTCTCGTCGTCGTCGTCGCGTCGTCGTTCGCGTCGTCGCCGTCCTCCCTCGTCGTTGTCGTCGTTGTCGCCGTCGTCGTCCTCCCTTTTTCCTCGTTGTCTTCGTTGGCGACGTCGTCGTCGTCTTCGTCGTCGTCGTCGGCGTCGGCGTCGTTGTCGTCTTCGTCGTCGTCGACGTCGGCGTCGTCGTCGCCGCCGTCGTCGTCGTCGTCGTCGTCGTCGTCGTCGTCGGCGTCGTTGACGTCGTCGTCTTCGGTGTCGTCGTTATCGTCGTCGTCGGCGTCATCGTCGTCGTCGTTGTCATCGTCGTCGTCGTCGGCGTCGGTGTCGTCGTCGTCGTCGTCGTCGTCGTCGTCGGTGTCGTCGTCGTCGTCGTCTTTGTCGGCGTCGTCGAAGTCCTTGGAGACGTCGTCGGTGTCGTCGTAGTCGTTGTCGGCGGCGTCGTCATCGTCGTTGTCGCTGTCGTCGTCGGCGTCGCTGTTGTTGTAAGAGATTTTGCAAACCAAGTTGCGGGTGGGTGGGTGGGATGTTTGCGCGAGCAGTGGAGTGGACAACTCACTGCGAACAGAAATTAACTGCACCACTTAGACTGCACAACCTGTATTCTCGTGTCTAAAATGAAAATAAGATCCACCACCGTTCCGAGGCCGGGGTGAACAGTATACTTCTTCGGAATTCATGTTCCATGCGGTTTTGCCCCATCGCCCTCCCTAAATATGTGTTCGCACCATCCCAGCGGGGCGGTATCGACCCCTCCCGTCATCCTCTGCAAAAGTTACACGGCGCGCGCAGTCGTTTATAACATATCATCAGCTTGCATGAACCCCTTTGAAGAAAAAAACGACCAAGTGCGCGCGCGCGTCGCCGCGCGCGCATGCCACAATCCTTCAAACACCGTTGGTCTCGGGAGGGTTTCGAGTTCGAGTGTCCAAATAACATGCAAACATGTGGTTTCGCAGTGTTGATTGTCACAGAGCTTGCGCGCGCCCTCTTGCGGGTTCCCAAGAATAACTAGAGCCGGTCACGATCTCCATAACATGCAACCAAACGGGCTTTGGGTGGTTGGGCGAGATGTTCGCAAGAGCATGGAATGTGCCAACTCGTTTGTAAAAACTCAGCTGTCCTTTCTTAGAGGAGAATAGACCCCCCCCCGGGGAGGGATTATCGGCCTTCCTTTTCGCATTGCAGTTTGCATGTGGTTGTGCCCCACCGCCCATTCTAAATTTGAATTCGTGCCGGCGCAAGCAGGCGTGCATCGACCCCCCCCGCCATCTTCTGCACAACGTACTATGCGTGAGTATGGTTCATCAGAAGTCATTAGTTGTCAAGACCCCCGTTGTACAACCTGGAACGAAGTTCACGCGCGCGCGTCATCGCGCGCGCGTGCAACAATTTTTCAAACGCCTTCGGTTTCATGAGGGATGCAAAACCGAGTGCGTTAAGAAAGACCTATAAAGCCACTTGGTTTCGCAACGATGATTTTCAGCGCCCTTGCTACTTATTCAGAACACCATGTTTGTATAGTTTTCTTGTTCTGCTGTTTTTTTACCCTATCATGTTCATAACATGCTACCAACCGGGCATCGCGCGCGCCCGTGTCGAAATCGTTCGAACGCCCTTGCGCGCGTGCCGTCGCAAGAACCTCTTGCAACAAATGCGACGAAGTGCTAAGGCGCGCGTCGTCGCGCGCGCACGCCAGAATCAGTCAAACACTTTAGGTTTCGCAGGGATTTCAAAACCGAATGCCCCGAACAAATACCATGGTGGTTCCAGCATGTCCATTGCATTCTGCCAAACGTGCCTCTCAAGCCGAATGCCGAAATCATTCGAACGCCCTTGCGCGCGTGCGCGGGGGGGGGGGGGGGGGGATCCGCGTCAAAGAATGCCATGCTGGCACTCTCGCGCGTCGGCCGCGCGCGCATGTCGAACACCTTCCAAAACCTTCATCACCGACGCGAGAACGCCATCATCGTCGTCGGCGTGATCAGCATCGGCGCAGTCATTGGCCGTGCCGTCGTCGTTGTCAGCATCGTCACCACATCGCTACTATCATCATCGTGTCTACCTGTGTCGACGTTGCCATGATACCGCGTCCGCCAAAGTCGCCGACTCGCACGGACGTGCTCGTTGGGATGTGCCCGGCGGTCAGCGCCACCGCGGCCGCGTCGGTCGCGCCATAGCAGCTGGCCGTTGCGCGCGCGTGCATGCGCGGGCTGGCGCGGCCGCAGAGATGCACCAGCCAACGCCAAGCACTCACCGCAGTCGCCGCCGCATGGGTTTTGCAAGCCGAAGTGCAGGTGGGTGGGTGAGATGATTGCGCGAGCAGTGGAGTTGGCAACTCACTGCGAAAAATAGTTGCACCACGTAGAGTGCACCACGTGGACTAAACATCCTATATCGCACGACGCGTCGTACACAACAGAGATTGCACCACGTAGGCTGCACAACATAGATCGTATGACATACGTTGTTATACGCACACACGCACACACCGCTGTGGATCCACGCTGGCGAACATGTATGTGTATATACATATGTGTACAGGCATGTTGAGTATTTGGGGTTTCTTCGGGGTGTGGGGTTCTGTTGTGGGGCTATTTGGGGGCTGGGCTCCGACGCCCTCCTAGGGTCCATCAACGGGCCAGCCACATGATTTTACATGGTGTGCCCTGCTGGTTTGCATCTTCGGCCGGGTATGCGAAGCAGCTTTTGACCCGCCAAAGTTTGAACTTTGTGGAAGGGGGCAGGGGGAGGGGCACACGCGTTTCCGAGGAATGTGGGGTGGGGGAAGGGATGATGAGCTCACGGCGACGAGTCTTGGCCACGGGCCGTTCAGAGTTTTGCGGAGTGTTTGGCTCAAGTAAGAGTACATTCGTCAATTCGGAGGGAAGATGAGTTTGTGGTTCAACGCGGCATGGTGGCTTTTTGTGATAGGCGTGTGCAGTTTGTTCGCTTTGCTTGCGCTGGCGGTCATTTCTGCAGTGGCAGTCCGTTTCTATTTCGATGGTCTGCGTGTTCGCCAAAGCTCCAAAATACCCGGAAGGCTGCTGGTTGGTTTTTTCCACCCGCACAGCACTGGTGGTGGAGGTGGTGAAAGAGTATTATGGACTATGCTAAACGCGCTTATGCACGAGTGGCCACAGGCCGACTTCATTGTCTACACACACTGGTCGAAGGAAAAGGGTACAGCAACACATGATTCGGTGGAAAAGCTTGTGCTCGGTAAATTTGGCATCGCTCTGCCGCGGCCTGTGAAGATTGTACAACTGCAAGGCGTGACATGGATTGAGCCATCTTCGTATCCGCGGCTGACGCTTCTACTACAATCACTTGGTGCAGTACCGCTAGCATACGAAGCGCTCAAGGCTCAGGCCCTGGAAGCTGGCAAAGCGAGTCTAATCCCTCATCCTACCTAATTAATTGGAGGTTGCTTTCTTGGTCTGGACCCCTCTCCCCCGGAAGCGTTGTATACCTCAGCGTCAGTTTTCGGGAGCATCAGCGGTCGGATGTAATCTAATTCTTTCGCCCAGTGGGAAAGGCCTGGGGATGGTTTCTTACCCAGTGCGTGTCGGCATGATTTCGACCCTCGTTCCCTACGTTGTAAGCGGGTGTATAGTTTTGTTGTGAGGGTTCCCCGCTCCAGAATATCTTCCCCACCCTCGCGATATCAGGCCCTTACCATTTCCCTCCTCGTCAATTTCACCGCTCTTCTGGATCGCTTCCTCACCTCGTCTATATCCTCTCATCGTTTTCGTCTTTACCTCATGACATTGATTGTGACAACATCGAGAGCGAGTGAGCGGAAGGTGTTGTATGTATGCGTGGCCCATTTTTGCTACAGGTTTTGAGGCTCGAACGACCCTCATGGTGCTCCAGAGTGAGGCCCCGACCTGCTTCATACGGCCTCGCGCAAAGTCGAGAGAAGATTGCTGGCTGGTCTCTCGGCCAGCTGGGGGCGGAGCAGGTGGAGCGCGGCGGAGCAGGTGGACGCGCGCTCTCAGCAGTTGCTGTGCCCGCCTCCAGCAGCGTATCCGAGTCTTCACTGTCCGGAGGTTCAGTGCCCACTCCAGGTCTGCCTGGAGTGCCCCAGCCTGCAGTGCCCAGAATTGCCGTCGCAGGTCATCCTCATCATCGTGCTCGTGCTTGAATCTCTCGTCATCTCGAGCAACTGCGGAGCCTGGATCGCTACGGGAGCACCTGGGCCTGTGAGCCGCCATGGCGATTATGGCCGCTGGCGCCTTCCCGTCCGAGGTGGCGGCGTTGTTGGGATCTTCTTCCGGTTGGGTGAGGTGGGAGCGGACTTACTGCTCGAGCGGGTGTCGTGGTGGCCGCCCAGATTCACGAAGTGGCTTGGAGAGACGGTCGATGCCGTTATCACTGAGTTCATTGTGCTCTCTCCTGACGGGCGAGTGCCGCGTTCATTCAGCAGCCCCATGTCACGGTTCCGACAGGAGTTCGATGATTGAGCCGTGCGGGGCGAAGTCGTCGAGGAGAGTCGCCTCAACTACAACATCGGTGGAGGTGGTGTGCCGATTCCCGAAGTCGTTCGTTTCGCTCAGATGTGGCACGGCCGCGTGCTGGGGCAAGCCCTTTGAGGGGAGCCACTCCGGGCGGCGGTTGCGTGGCAAGCAGGAGCGTTTGGTGTCCTCCGACGCTTAGGAAGCCCCTGGTGGAAGCGGAGCTGGTCTTGCCGGCACAGAGCTGCCCTCGGAGCCTCCAGAAGTTTCCAGAAGTCGCCCCTGTGGAAGGGACGCCTGCCTCGCGAGAGGTACTAGCGGAGAGCGGCATCGTGTGTCGTGCGTGTCGCTTTGCATGGAGTTTCTCCCATCTGCGATCAAACTTCGAGCGGACCATGCACGAATGGGCAAGCGAACGCTTGCGGATACAAATGTCATGCCTCAAGCGTGGTTTTGGTGCCGTCTTTGATCCCATCGTTCCTTCGCGGAGTGGCCGCAGATTCGCGAGGCCATGGGCCTGGCTGGGGCCCCCCCAGTTGTGCCACAAACTCCAGAAGAGCAGGAGGAGGAAGAGCAGGAGAAGGAGGAGGGCGTGCTAACCCTTGCTGTGCAATATGATGACCGCGGCGAGCGTTCACAAAATATGTGAGTCCCCGAATTAACTTGTGGTGGGACCTCGGTGCACGGAAGCATCATAGTACTCCCATATTCTTACCGCCACGGCCAGCAGGCGGTGACGCCGCACTGGTCACGGCACGCGACGCGTTAGAGCCACTGTGTGCTCCGGCGCGCCTGCCCGACACTGCGGCAACTAGCAATCAGCTGGGCTCCTCACGGACTTCCCATGCACTGAAACCTCCGACCAGACTGAACATCTGCACCCGTGCGCCGTTACGACAGAATGTCCCGATGCCAGCCCAAATGCGGGGTTGCGACCCAGGAGATCGCCGTCACGACAGGGTCTGCTTATTATGGTCCACGGGCGAGGAAGGAGGAGGAGGAGGAGGAGGAGAAGGACGGCTCGACAAAATTAGGGTTACGACACTTCGGCCGCTTTTCCCAGGGCGTGCTGGTTACGACAGAATTTGCCTATTCTGCTGCAGCGAGGGAGGAGGAGGAGGAAGAGGAAAGGAGGAGGAGGAGGCGGGGAGTGCAACTACCACGCGCGCTTCCTTCTTTTTCGCCGGCTTAGTTTCCCTTCTTTTTCAACAGATCTAAGATCCTCTGGGCGTCGCGGGCTAAGGCCGACTTGGGAGGGGCGCCGTTGCGGCGCTGGCCTCCGATTGTCATCATCGCCTTCATCGCCGCCTCCTCGAGGGTCAGGGCGCCGCCGTCTGCGTGCCGCCACACTGCGACCGCGAACTGGAGCATCTCGACCCTCGGGTTGTGCGTCTTGCTCAGCCGGCAGTGTTTCACCGTGTCCGCCAGCAGCTCCAGGTCCGTGGCCTTACCGATGACCTCACTACAGTACGCCTCCAAGGTGTTCTTCGCTGCTCCCTCCACCTGCTGGCATTGCCCGAGTCCACGAAGAAGAGCTCCCCACGCATGAAGAAATGGTGCTCCGAGCTTATGGTCGCGTCCTGTTTGTTTCACCTGCTCTGCGTAGGCCACCGTGGCTGCCTTGATTGACTGAGCGATGGGGTTGGTCCACTCGATCAGGAACGTCCGGAAGGTGGCTCCGACAAGGTTGCCGATCACATTGTCGTGAGAGAGCGCGAGGATGGTGAGAATCGTGAGCACCTTCTTCGAGTTGCCCTCGATGCCCGCGATGGTGAGGGCTGCGCGCGCCTGCTCGCGGTCGTCGTCGGTCTTCCTCTGCTTGTTGTTGTCCGCCCCGTCCGCGTCGGACCCTGGCCGCTTGTTGGCGCCGACCGTGGTCGTCATCCACGCTGGCAACTCCATCGGCATACCCATCGATGACCTGTGGGCCTGGGTTCAAATGACTGCGGATGTGCTTCTGCAGATGCTCCCGAACTTGAGCTTCATGTCCGCAGAAGGTACAACGTTGAAGATCAGGAGGGGGAAGAATAAGCTGAGTTCACGTGGGAGAGGGATCAGCAAAGCCAACGCCGTTACGACAAGCTCGGTCCAGATGGGCTGCAGCGAGTAATCGCGTTGGGAAGCGAGACAGGCAGCAACAACACGGAGTTGCAAGGATATTATTTCAGATATGTATGAGAGATGGCGAGGGCGCGCCGCTAGATGCCCCAAAGGGGACCCCCCGTCCCTCCCCCCATTTCCCCGGTCCATCGCAGACGGACCCCCCCTCCCGCCTTCCTTCCCGATCCGTCGTCGGCGGACCCCCCCCCTCCCCCCTGTCAAAGAGGGTGGTGGTGTTCGAACCCTCCCCCCTCTCTTAACCGATTTGGATTCAATTCGGATCCCCCCTTCCCCCCCTTTCAAGGGGGGAGGGGTTCGGACGCTCCCCCCCTTTACTTTGGAACCCTAGCTCCGGACCCTTGCCCCCTAACCCTAACCCCGTACCCCCCTAACCCTAAGATTTATTCCTAACCCCAGACCCTTCACCCTAACCCTATTCCTAACCCTCACGCTAATCCTTCCTCCCTATGATTAAACACTCCCACATCCCCACGCAGCCGGCCGATGCCAGACCCGCCGTCCGAACTGCAAACAACATCACACGTTCATTTATCATTCTCGCCAACATGTCGTTGATTTGCGAAAAATGCAGCAGGAATTCGACATAATGAACACCGCTTGGGTAACCCGAAGCGGGTGGTCGCGTCCTACCCATCCAAAAAAACAATACAAAGTCAACGTTTTTCTCGTCAACATGGACTTTCTTGTCGTCGACGCTGCGAACTGTGTAGCAGTTGTGGGACGCGGCGCGCATCGCGCGCGGACGCCTGGCCGACCCTACGCGGGACTCCCTGTCAAAAAACACAGCAACGCCGACGCTTTTCCTTGCCAACATGTATTTTCTCCTCGTCGGCGATGCGAATCGCGTAGCGGGAATGGGACGCGGCGCACATCGCGCGGGGACGCCTGCTCGTCAACATGGACTGTCTTGTCGTCGACGCTGCGGCCCGTCGGGTTGAGGAGCTGGGCGGGCGGCAAGTCATTATGCCTCAAGCAAGTCCGGTTCGCCGCCGGCGCGCCCGTTGTCGTGTCCATCCACGTAAGAGAGACCTTTGGCAACAGTGATCTTCGGCGGCGCACTCCGCGCGCTGGACATGTTGCCAGCGATGATGAAACATGAGAAACCGGAGCGGGGCGCGGCGTTCATCGCGCGCGGTCTTGTTTCTCGTCGACGTCGTTCAATACGCGGCAGGAATAGTACGCAGCTCATGTCGCGCGCTGAACGTCTAGCCGCCCGCGATATAAGACGAGCGACAGGCGTTCGGACGCGACGCATTTGCTTCTGATGTTGTGGGAGGGCAAGTGGGAGTGGACGGAGCCCTCTCGCTCGTTCGAGCTGGTTTACTTGACCTTCGCCCTAATCCTCCTATTGCCACCTTCACCCAAACCCTAATCCAAACCCTAACCCACTTACCCTTATCCGAACCCTAGCCTTTTACCCCCTAACCGCTAACCCCTAAACCTTAAACCTTAACCCTTACATAACCCACACTGAAACCCTAAACCTGCTTCTGCTACCTGGACCCGAACCCCCTGATTCCTTGTCTTTCACCTTATAACCCCATACCTAACCACCTACGCCCAATCCCATCACCCCAACCTCACACCCTAACCCCAACGCCCTAACCCTTACACCCCAATCCTAGCACTCTCTCGTCAATCCAACCACTTAACTTTGATCCGAAACCCTTAACCCAAATCCCTTAAGCTCCTGACCCGAACCTTAACCCCTAACCCCAACCCCATTAACCCTAACCGTATTCCCAACCTTCAGCCTAGCCCTCATCCTAACCTTACCCCCAGCCCTATTCCTC